AATTTTTTGTATTTTTATATATTTTTGGTTATTTATTATTATTTTAAAAAAATGCCCGGACAAAATACGGTGTTCACAGTTGCCCCTCTTTACTTTTTCTTATGTAAGTATATGAAAAAGTGTGTTTTTGAATTCTTACATAAGTGACAAGTAAAGATAGAACATGTATTTTGGTCGGCCATGCAATACCTATGAAAAGACCTAATTGCCCCTGACACGACAAGATATGATTAAATGCGAGACTATTGCATAACAAACACAGTGACATGATTTTTGATTTTTAGCAATGTGATGTGAATGAAAATAATCAAATGACAACGATCCAAACAAAATATATGTTGACTAGATGCCCCCCTTCATTTGATTTCTAAGTGAGAATTTCATGAGATGATATTCTTATCTTAGAAATGAATGAAGAGAGAAACATGTATTTTGTTGAGGAGGGGCAAGACTCTTAGGTATCTACAACCAAACAAAACAAAACAAATAAAAGAAAGGGTTTAAAATGAAATGTGATTTACGAACTAAACAAAACAAAACCTCAATGGAGATGAATTGCCTATGTTCCAAAGGACCAGGTGGATGCCTGCTTTTACAAGGCTCGGAGGATGCCTGCCGTGACAGGGCTTTAAAGAATTGTGCCAGCCGATACTGGGCTTTGTGGTGCCTGCCGTGACAGGGCTTTTAAAGAATTGTGCCAGCCGACTGGGCTTTGTGGTGCCTGCCGTGACAGGGCTTTGGGGGCCTGCCGTTACAGGGCTTTAAGGAATCGTGCCAGCCGGTACTGGGCTTTGAGTGCCTGCCGTAACAGGCTTTGGGGGCCTGCGTTACAGGGCTTTAAGGATCGTGCCAGCCGGGACTGGGCTTTAGGGTGCCTGCCGTAACAGGGCTTTGGGGTGCCTACCGTTACAGGGCTTAAGGAATCGTGCCGCCGGTACTGGGCTTTGAGTGCCTGCCGTAACAGGGCTTTGGGTGCCTGCCGTTACAGGGCTTTAAGGAATCGTGCCAGCCGGTACTGGGCTTTGAGGGCCTGCCGTAACAGGGCTTTGGGGTGCCTGCCGTTACAGGGCTTTAAAGAATCGTGCCAGCCGGGACTGGGCTTTGAGTGCCTGCCGTAACAGGGCTTTGGGGTGCCTGCCGTTACAGGGCTTTAAGAATCGTGCCAGCCGGTACTGGGCTTTAGGGCCTGCCGTAACAGGGCTTTGGGGTGCCTGCCGTTACAGGGCTTTAAAGAATCGTGCCAGCCGGTACTGGGCTTTGAGGGCCTGCCGTAACAGGGCTTTAGGGGTGCCTGCCGTTACAGGGCTTTAAAGAATCGTGCCAGCCGGGACTGGGCTTTAGGGTGCCTGCCGTAACAGGGCTTTGGGGTGCCTGCCGTTACAGGGCTTTAAGAATCATGCCAGCCGGTACTGGGCTTTGGGGTGCCTGCCGTAACAGGGCTTTGGGGTGCCTGCCGTTACAGGGCTTTAAAGAATCATGCCAGCCGGTACTGGGCTTTGGGGTGCCTGCCGTAACAGGGCTTTGGGGTGCCTGCCGTTACAGGGCTTGGGGGCCTGCCGTACAGGGCTTTAAGGAATCGTGCCAGCCGGTACTGGGCTTTGAGTGTGAGAATAGGTTTCATCTCACGGGGAAAATATGAGAAACTCAAAGGTGAGTTTTGTTATTCTTCGCTTACTTCCTTAGGTTTGCAAGTTTTTAGTTTGCCCTAATCTAAATAGGGCATACTCTCTGTAGCAATGCATGCAATGGGGTGATATGCAATGCATGATTTTTTATTTGCCCCAATCTAAGTGTGGCGTGTTTCTACGACAAGGCATGCAATGTGGTAATGTGCCATGTATGATGTTTATAGGCGCTAAATATACATTGGATGGATGATTTGCAATGTAAAGGGTAAGACGTGCTTATTTGCCCCAATGCAAATGTATGAATAATGCAAATGTATTGCAAAAATTTTATTGGAAAGCTTAATGTTGAAAACTATCTTAGTATTTATCCCCCTTTTTTTGAAAATTTTGTGCACATTGAATAAATCATTTCGAACATAAGGTAATACCTCCAAGTCTGTTATTTAACCTTTATTCATTAATAGGTGTAGTATCACAGTATGCCGTTGCCCCTCTTTAGAAAATTCCAATGACCAAATTCTTGTCACTTGATCTTGTCTTCAAATTGATGAGATTAACTATTATAACCAAACACTAATAGTAGACATGCTCTCATTATCATTTTACACCTACGTAATGATCTTGATACCTCAAGGGCGAAAGGCGAGAATAAAGATACCAGCATTCTACGTCAAGTAAATGCGTCAATGAATATTGTTCCTTGAATGCGAACCTGCTGTAATATATGAGATTTGTATCCAAATATGATAACACGAAACGAGAAGAAAGATGGTCTCAAAGGAGCAAGGGCGGAAAAAATTCATTCACTGAGGCTAAAGTTCATAGAGAAATGGGAATATCTTGGTTTATGAGTACAAATGGCCAAAGCGCGAATGGGATATATGGATTTACTTTATATCACATCTCTTCCTTTAGCTTTTCAAAACCCCAACAGGTGTTTCACTGAGCTGCTATTGATATGCATAATATGAGAGACGATGGAGATAACTTTCCCAAACATAATTAACTTTTGATGCCTTCCTTTTCTTCTTTTCTTCTCCTAAGACATCCTTTTGTCTTGGCGAACTCTTCTTCTTCTTATCATGACTTTGCCCCCCCTTTTTTTTTTAGCTCTAACTTTTGCTTAGATTACCTTTACAGGTTTTTTAACCTAACGAGCTATTCTTTCCTTTTCATTTTCTATTAGCTCTAACTTTTGCCTAGGTTGCCTTTACAGGTTTTCAACCTAACGAGCGCTTCATTCTTTTTCATTTTCTGTTTAAGCAAAGTAACGCTTGACAGCATCTGCATTAATGGGCTTTGCTAACTCTTGACCGTCCATGTCAGCTAGGATCAGTGCTCCTCCAGAAAAGCATGTTTGACAACATAAGGTCCCTCATAGGTCGGAGCCCATTTGCCTCTATTATCTTCTTGGTTAGGCAATATTTTCTTGAGTACAAGATCCCCAGCACTGAATTCCCGTGGGCGAAGTTTTTTATCAAAAGCTCTTGCCATTCTCTTTTGGTACAATTGTCCATGACACATTGCAATGAGCCTTTTCTCTTCAATCATGTTAAGTTGCTCAAATCGGGTTCGTATCCATTCATTTTCTTCTAAATCTACCTCTGCCAATACTCTTAAAGATGGTATTTCTATCTCAATGGGTGTAACAGCTTCCATTCCATAAACAAGGGAGTATGGGGTCACCCCTATGGATGTGCGTGCAGTAGTACGATAACCATGTAAAGCATAGGGAAGCATCTCATGCCAATCCTTATAAGTTACTGTCATTTTTCCAATGATCTTCTTAATATTTTTATTGGCTGCTTCAACTGCTCCATTCATTTGAGGTCTATACGGGGCTGAATTATGATGCTTGATTTGGAACTTCTCGCAAAAGTTCCTGACTTCCGTTCCATTGAGATTGGGACCATTATCAGTAATGATCCTTTCAGGAATCCCATATCGGCATAAATATTTGTCTTCATGAATTTAAGGAACGTCTTTTGCGTGATGCTAGCAAATGAATTTGCTTCTACCCATTTTGTGAAATAGTCAATCGCGACAAGGATGAAGCGATGTCCATTCGAAGCTTTTGGGTTAATTGGGCCAATAATGTCAATGCCCCACATTGAGAATGGCCAGGGTGATACCAAATTATATAATGGGATTGGAGGAGCATTTATCCTATTAGCATAGATCTGACATTTATGGCATTTCTTGACATGCTCAAAGCAATCTTTCTCTATTGTTAGCCAGAAGTAGCCATACCTTTGAATCTGTTTGGCCATAGTGTGACCATTCGCATGCGTGCCACATATGCCCTCATGTACCTCAACCATGATTTTCTTTGCTTCTTCTGAACTCACACAGCGAAGTAAAGTACCATCATAACCCCTCTTGTATAGAACATCTTGACTGATAAAGAATGTCATAGCCAAACGACGAAGGGTTTTCTTTTCATTCTCAGTCATTCCAGCTGGGTATGATCTCTTAGTGATATAATCCTTAATATCCTGGAACCAAGGATATTCTTCTCGATCTTCTTCAACATTCAGACAGTACGCTGGAAAGCTTCTAGCTTCCACTTGGATGGGTTGGATATGGACTCCACAATCAAGTTGGATCATTGCTGCTAAAGTGGCTAAAGCATCAGCGAAACGGTTTTTATCTCTAGTCAAGTGATGAAAGCTAGCAACCTTAAATTGCTTAATCAAATCTGTTAGGAGTTCTTGATAGGGAATCAATTTTACATCCTTTGTTCTCCATTCTCCTGTTACTTGATGAATAATGAGAGCTGAATCACCAAATACCTTCAAACACCGTATACCAAGGGTAATAGCTGCTCGAAGACCATTAACACAAGCTTCATATTCTGCTATGTTGTTAGTACAATCAAATTCTAATTTGATGGCCACTGGAAATTGTTTTCCTTCGGTGAAACGATCACCGCTCCTACCCCATTTCCATGCATGTTGGCGGCTCCATCAAAATACATTTCCCATTCTCGCTCTTCATTGTTTCCTTCACCACAACCTTCTTCTGTAGTGCATATGACTTCATCAGGAAATTGAAAATCTAATGGTTGGTCATCCCCTAAAGGATTATCGGCCAAGTGATCTGCTATTGCACTACCTTTGACTGACTTTTGCATCACATGCTTTATATCATATTCTGATAGTACAACTTGCCATTTTAGTACTCTACCAGTAATGTGCGGGCTCTCAAAGATGTATTTAAGTGGGTCCACTCGTGAGATTAGCCAGGTAGTGTAGTAAAGCATGTATTGCCTTAGCCTTCTAGTTGCCCATACTAGTCCACAACAAGTTCGCTCAATCACCGGATAACGAGCTTCACACTCATTAAACTTCTTGCTCAAGAAATAAATCGCTCTTTCCTTCTTTCCAGAATCATCAAGTTGACCTAGCATTGCTCCCATTGAGCGAGGTAAAGTTGTTAGGTAAAGGATTAGTGGACGATCTGGTGATGGAGGTACCAAAATCGGGGGATTTAACAAATAATCTTTAATTTTATCAAAGGCCTTTTGACAATCATCATCCCATGTCCCCTTGCAATTTTTCTTTAACAGTTTAAACATTGGTTCGCAAGTGGCTGTTAGATTGGCAATGAATCTAGCAATGTAATTCAATCGTCCCAAGAAACTTCTAACTTCTTTCTCTGTTTGGGGAGATGGCATTTCTCGAATTGCTCTCACTTTATCTGGATCTACTTCTATCCCTTTACGACTCACAATGAATCCCAATAACTTCCCCCAGAAAGAGCTCCAAAAATGCATTTGTTAGGATTCAATCTTAGCCGATATTCGCGTAATCTCCCAAATAGCTTTCTAAGGACTCCAACATGACTCTTATTCTCCGCTGATTTAGCTACCATATCATCTACATATACTTCAATTTCTTTATGCATCATGTCATGGAATAGTGCTACCATAGCTCGTTGATAAGTTGCCCCAGCATTTTTCAAACCAAAAGGCATTACCCGATAACAATAAGTTCCCCATTGGGTTGTAAAGGTTGTTTTCTCTTTATCCTTTTCATGCATAGGGATTTGATTGTACCCTGAATAACCATCCATAAAGGAATAGCGATAGCTTCGAGCAGTATTATCGACCAATACATCAATGTGGGGTAATGGAAAGTCATCTTTCGGACTCGCATTATTTAAATTACGATAATCAACACACATTCGAATCCGACCATCTTTTTTAGGAACAGGAACAATATTTGCCACCCATTGTGGGTAAGTTACTACCTCCAAAAATCCTGCTTCTAACTGCTTTATTACTTCTTCTTTTATCTGCAAGGACACCCCCGTGTTCATTCTCCTTAACTTTTGTTTCTTAGGCTCGACCTTGGGAAGTAATGGTATTTTATGAGAAGCAATGCTTGGGTCTAGCCCAGGCATGTCTTTATATGACCATGCAAACACATCTATGTATTCTTTGAACAACTCAATCATTTGTTCCCTTTCAGGATTATCTACTATTTTGAGCATTCTTTGATCCTCCTCGGTTCCCATATTAACCATCTCAATCACTTCTTCATGTGGGCATATTCCCTTATCACTCAATTCAAGCATCTTTGAAAAAGTTTGGATTATGTCTTCATCATCAGACTCACAATCATGCATATCAGTGGCAACGAATGAATCATCTTCACAGGGTTTATTAATCTCTGGGTGGGAGATGGAATCAGAAGAAAAAAATCCCTGGATAATGAATATGGAACGAGATGAAATAAGGAACAGGAATGAAACGGAGAAAGATGTATTGAAGTAGATAGGGTGGAATAAAGAAATAGACATGAATGCAATTGAAATTCATTTTCATGAATTATGTATATCAAAAGTTTGCATTAGTGAATACCCAAGATCTATTACCTAAACCTGGGCTCAAAAGTGGATAAAATAGGAACAACATAATTGAAACAATTACTCTAAGCTAATGACATCATTGGCCTCTTCAAACTCCCAATTCGCCAGAACTTTGTTGGAATCATCGACTGCAATTGAGGCACTTGTTCTGCATGGTACATCTTCATTAAAAGAGATCACTGAGATAGCTGGTTTATATATCACCTCGGACGGGCCTGGGAAGGATTCTTTAATGTGTGGAATCTCCAATTTACTGGCCTTTTTGCCATTTGCCAAACTTGCTTTGTCTTTCATCTGGTCTTCCAGGGTAGGCTCATACCCTAACCCTTGGCGATTACAATTATCCAAAACCTTAATTGGACACGTAATTCCTTGTAAATGAGAGCCTAAACCTTTCCCTGGCATAAACCCACTCTTCGCCATGATTTTAGCCACGACGGAATTGATGTTGTGAGTACTACCGCAAATACCCTCGACCTCTAGGCTTTGAAAGGAAACTCCATAATCTTTCTCTGCAGCCTCAATATAAGGGAGTGAGCTTGGTTTGCTCACCATGATTTCCTCCTCTCCTTTAACTGCTATAATTCTCCCATCACTGATGAACTTAACCTTTTGATGTAAGGTAGAAGGAACAGCCCTAGCAGAATGAATCCATGGCCTTCCTAGCAGCATTGTGTAACTTGGGCTATGTTCATGAGTTGGAACTCAACCTTAAACCTTGTCGCCCTATTCCAGGGAGAGACAAATGATCCTAATACTTCCCGTCTTGATCCATCGAATCTGCTTTACCACAATATTACTTTTATGTACACCTGAAGCTTCTAGTGATAATGATTCAAATGTGGAGAGCGGCAAGACATTTAACGCTGATCCTCCATCAATTAATACTCTTGCGATTATGAACCCTTCACATTTCAAAGTGATGTGCAAAGCCTTGGCTTGGTGAACAGCGGTTTCTGTAACTTCCTCTTCCGAAAAGGAAATGGTAGAGGAGGCTTTTACAACATTCATTACACTTGCCACCTTCTCAGGGGTTATATTAGGCTGCACAAAAGCTTGATTCAACACTTCCTGCAATGCTTGACGATGCGCTTCGGAACTTAAAATCAAAGAAAGTATGGAGATACGCGCTGGAGTTTTCTTCAATTGGTCCACAATGCTGTAATCACTTTGCTTCATAATCGATAAAAACTCATCTTCTAATTTTTCCATTTCTTTAGGATTGTCTTCCTTTGGCCTATTAATACTTGCATTTTTCTCTTTTACCATTTTCCTAATGTAAGATGGTAAGTATGGTTTTCCACTTCGAGTAACACCCCCTTGGTTGGCCATTTCATTGCTTGTCCCGGCAATCAACGTTGGGTTTTTGTGGTTCTCCACAATGCTTTGATATTTCCACGGGACTGCTCGATCACTTTCATAGGGAAAGGGATGAGGCGTGCTTATGGTCAATGTTGGTTGTCTTACGTGAGGTACAAGATCTGCAGAGGCTTTGTTTATCACAAAAGAGACTGCCTGAACCCGTTCTTTTGGGCTCAAATTTTTAATGACAAGCTCAACATGTTTTTTTTTCTACCATGCACACTTTGGCGTCTCCCCTCTTTACAGACACGATCCCTAACGCCATCATTTTTCTAACAGCTCCTTTAAACTGTTCACAACTTTCTATGTCATGGCCTATTTTCTCTTGATGATATTCACAGTATCCAGGCATTTGATCACTGATATTATTCGTGAGGAGCATTTCTCGCATATAGCCATACTCCTTTAAATGAGCATAAAGCTCATTCATAGGCATCCTGATTCTTGCGGAGCTTTTGAAGCACGCATCTTCTTCTTCAATAGCGTTGACTCGTTTTTCGTGATTTGGGAGTGGATCAGTAGTAAGGGTAGAGCTTCCCTCTTCTTTAAGCTGGATATGGTTAGAATCAACTAGGTCTAGCACATTTCTTTTAAACGTCACACAGTCTTCTATTGAGTGCCCAGGTGCACCCATGTGGTATTCACAAACAACATTTGGATTATACCATGCCGGGTAAGGCGGACCAAGAGGCTTATAAGGTCGCGGACCTAATAATTGGGCTGTCAAAAGTTTATGGTACAATTCAGCATTTGTTAATCCAAAATTGGGCCATGGGCGACTATCCCTGGATTGGACATTTCTCCTCTCTCCATCCTGTCCATGCTTGTTAGGCCTGAACCCAAATTGTTGCTGTCTTTGATTCCTTCCCTCTACTTGATAAGGGACTTGAGAATTGGTAGCTGCTTGTCTTATAGGTTGAATATAGTTCACATTCCCTTCTTTCTTTTTTTGGTCATAGTTCTTTCGTGAACTACTTTCAGCTTGAGAAGTGGCTATCTTCCCTTCTCGTATGTCTATGTCAATCCTTTCCCCAATTACCATTAAATCAGCAAAATCAGTGACATGTGTTCCTATCATGTGTTGGTAAAATGGCTTAGGCAACGCACGGATGAAGTACGAGCAAAGTTCGGAATTAACCATTGGAGGTTGCACTTGCGAAGCCACTATTCTCCATCTTTGAGCATATTCTTTGAATGACTCTAATGATTTCTTGGTCATTGCTTTCAATTGTTCTCTGGTCGGAGCAGTATCAAGATTGAACTTGTATTGTCTCATGAAAACATCCACAAGGTCTTTCCATCTTTTAATCTTGGTTTGGTCTAGTTGCATGTACCAAGTCAATGCGGCTCCAGTTAAGCTTTCGGGAAAGAAGTTTATCAGAAACTTCTCATCTTGTGACCATATGGACATCTTTGTGCAATAGGCCCTCAAATGATAAATTGGGTTACTTGTACCATCATATTTATCGAAGCTTGGCATCTTGAATTTCTTGGGAACATCGATTTCTGGGGTCAAACATAATTCTTTCAAGTCTAAGGAACCCCACGTGTTTGATCCTTGAAGAGCCTTCAATTGATCTTTCATCTCTCCAAGTTCTTCTTTCAACTCCTTCTCTTTATGTAGCACTTGTGGGATTTGGAACATGTAGGCATGATCTTCCCCAGGACCATCCGGTATGTTAAAGGCCCCTATCCCAGAATCTTGTTTCTCTGGCGTGGGTACTTTAGGATCTGATCCTCTGTTTGGCTCAATTGTTCTATTAACCGCGTTCTCATCTGCTACGGTATTTCGTGGTGGGTTATCATCACTCCGTCCTTTTAGAGCCTCTGTTAGCAATTTCATCATGTCACTTATTTCAGCCATTTTAGACTCCACTGCAGACATCCGATCATTTAAGGTTGCTGACTCATTCCCGGTTGAATTTTCCATTGCACGACTACGCGATCGTGTGTTGTATGCTCGAGTGGTGGGAATCTGGTCAACCGAGTTTTTCTTTCGAGGCGCAATGTTGGCTTACCTGTGTAACATAATAATTAATTTTAATAAGTTTTACCTTTACGTTTGTTTCGTAAGATATCCAGCATTGTGTAGACATAAGGGTTTCGCGACACTGGCACCCTTTAAATTCCTCCAGAAATTTATTACTTCATAGGGGATTTAAAGTTGACCATTGAATTAGATGGACATTGGATCCTATCGAAATTCAAGGTCTTAAGAAAATGATGGTAGTACAAATTAATCAATAATTTCACAACCACAAAGCGTCATGTAGATCCTCATACAATGATTCAAATGTTAATACAGATTTAGAACTTCGTCACGCTATTGAGTTCTTTTACAATTTCATTGCACAAATGGAAGAATTCAACAATCTCTAATGGAGTTCCCCCAGGGAGAACCATGCCTTCAGCTTGCTTAAATGCTCTTGCAAATTCTGGAATTTTGTCATTAGCCAAATCAATTATCTGCCTACATTTTAACATCCACTCTTTGGTTTCTTCTGTTTGATCAAGGCAAAGTGATTTCCACTCTTCTAAGACTTCATTTTGTTGATTAAGCCTCTGAACAAAGTTCTGTGCTGTCTCAGCTGCACTTCCTCTCACCCTGGCTAGTTCATTCACCTTCCTTTCCAATTGTCTTGTGAGCGTATTGATTTCTTGCTGCATCTCCTCAATGGGTCTGATGTCTTGTAATTCCTTCTTCAATGCATCATTTTCCCTGACTATTTTGACAAGTCTTGCTTTAGTACTTTGAACTTTGTTATCACTAGTTTGCACTTCCCTTTTCAGTTTGGCATTTTCCTTTTTCAATTTCTTAGTCTCAGGTGTTTCTTCAAGGTTATGCCCTTCTCTTTCCTTTGCTAGCTTCCTCCGTAACTCAACGCATTCGTTTTGGTATTTTTCCAATTCTTCTTTATTCTTAGACTCTAAGTTAGCAAGCGCTTGTAACTCATTTTCCTTCATCTTCAAGCATTCAACCAATTGGCCATTAATCTCTTTCAAGTCATTGCCTAACAAGGGATTTTGAGGATGAAATAAAGGATTTGCTCCTTGAATCATACTCTTCAGCCAAGTAGTGTATTCTGGACTTGAGTTTACTACACGTATCCCTAGCTCAATCTTCCCTTTGTAACCTATCTCTTGCCATGCTTCTTTGACATTCTGGCTTAATAACTTTGTCCCATCCTCCTTATGTAGAAAGTATAACTCCTGCACCTCTTTCTTAGAAGGAACATTTTGCTTATAGGCCAGTTGCCTTAACGCTAAGGAAGGGTTATAGTTGATACACCCTCTGGGTCCCATTAAAGGCACATTCGGAAAGTCACCACAATGGTAAATAACCTCCTCTTTCCACCACCAGTCTAGTTTCCATAAAATGGAACTTTCTTTAAGTTCTGAGAAGGTTCTTTTCCAATCCATGTAGCTCATTCCGTCAATCATGAATTGGCCTTTAAAAGACATGAGTGGATTACTGTCTGAGTCGTTCTTCTTTCTGAAAGGAAGCGTCTTTCCATAAAGGTGGCCAAGCATCCATAAATCCAGTAATGCAATACAACAATTGACCTTTCCTTTCCCTTTATCGTGACATTGAGTTAAGGTCAAGTACGTTTCTGCCAAGATTGCTGGTACTGGATTCACGTTATGGTATTCCACCATTTGGAATACACTAATGGCTCCTAAGTCAATTATGCCAATTGATGATGGAAACAGGATTATTCCATATATGCATAAGGCAAAGACTCTGCAAAATGTAACCCAAGCTTCTTTTCCTGCCAAAACTTTCAAGTGGGCTTCTACATCAGCTCTTGAGATTCCCTCTGTTTGTCCTGGGCAAACCATTCGTACCTTTTCCTTAGGAATTTCCAAAATTTTCGCTATCGTGCCTCGAGATGGTAAATATCCAGGATAAAGATATACTGCCATGTTCTCCTTAAGGGGCATTCTCAAAATTTCTCCATATTCTTCCAAAGTCGGTGCCATTTGGAAGTCTTGAAATGTGAAACATCTTAACGAGGCATCCCAATATTGGCTTAATTCCATTATTGCATCATTATGTATTGTGACTGGCAGAAGATCCAAGATATTTCCATATTTCCTTTTAAAATCTTGCATAATCTTCCCTTTGATATGACGGCTCAACTCAATTAAGGTTTCCAGCGGCTCAACTTTTACAGATAATTTGATCCCTTTTCCCTGATATAATTTTCCAGTATGACTTAGATTTGTACTACCTTCGAGTGCCATTTATCCCTTATGCCAATTTCACAAAGATTCTGGATAACTCACGGTTCCTGTTAATCAAAACAAAGGTTAATAATATACAATTCTCATAATTTTAGCAAGCTATCTGGCTCACTTTTTTAAAAACCCTCTCCTCTAGATACTTATTGCACCATAGGGAGATGGAGTAAACAATTAATGGACGAGAGGCTTAAATCCCCTACATGATTAATGTTGAAAGGTTTAGCCTTACAATCTTATTTTTGAGAAAGGAGAAAAAAAAATGATAAAAATGATTTTGATAATAGATATGCAAGAAAAAAAAAATCCATTCTCTCCTCAATGTGCTTATTGCCCCATAGGGAGAAAGGGATTAATTAGCCTATGTGCAGCTAAAACTGACACATGGCTAAAGTCTCAATGACAAGAGAAATTATTTAATTTGTGGTTTTTTTAAAAAAATGCGAATACTTTATGATGACATGCTATGACAATGATGCAATAAAAGATCAATACTCTCATCCTGCGTCCTATTCAGGGAGACTTAAGTTCATAATCGGGTGCTCACTAGAATGGTTGGCTACTAGCTGTTGTCTGAAACGTGTAATTCACGGGTGGATGTATATTCCTAAAAGGCTCTCAAGATGCCCTCACACAAAGGTGAAGACCTTACTTAATAATCTTGGCCCTCCAAGAACATAAGCTCTACAGGGACCAAATTTATTAGGCAAGTAACAGCTTGGGTGAGGTATTCATGGTAACCTCCGAGAGTTCAAAAACTCCACAGGGAAACCACTACTAACCTCTACTAACCTATAGTACTCACAGACCCGGGTATAGGGCCCAAAATATGTGTGTGTCAAATTGTGTAAGTGTATAGTGTGATGAGAGCATGCAAGCATGCTATCTTATTCTCATATGCTACCCAACTCCCAACTTTTAATCAGATCAAATACAGAAACAAATATATGTACAAATAAAAGTCATCTATCTTAAGGTTTATTCCGCATGTTATCTACCTTAAAAACATGTTATAAAATACAAAAGAAAGAGAAAAGGGAAAAAGAGAAAGGAACAAGGGACACATAAATTTAAAGGGATAATAAAGATAAACCATATTATATTTTGAGCATAACAGACTTATAGGCTTGACTCTCTAACTCTCCCCGGTGGAGTCGCCAACTGTCGCACCCGGAAAAAAATGCGACGCGGACGGCGCGCGAGCGGAGGTCCCGGCCTTCGCGGCGGGAACGGATCGAACGAGGAGTCGCCACCAAGATTTTGAGGTAAATCTCGGGAAACCGATTAATGAAAGATAAGGGTGATCTGCGAAATCAGAGAATAGGTTCGGGAGTCGGTTGAGTGTGGGGAAGGTGTTAGGCACCCCACAACACCCGTTCGTGAGAACGGTTACCTGAAGTTTGTTGTGCTCTATTAATATGGTTTTAAATTATTTTAATTATCCCTTTTATATTCATGTGTTTGATATAAAAATGATGATAATTGAGTGAGAAATGTTTATTTATTTACGAGGGAGGACGGACTTGACTCAGAATCTGACTCTGAGGCCTACGTACCCTGTGATGGGGATCAAAGTCCACGTAGTTCGGGCTTAAAAGTTTGTCGGTAAAAATATTTTTTGAAGAGAAATTAATTAGAAATAACTCACCATTTTGCAAATAAAACAATTTCTGAAATTTTGATATGTGTGTTTTAAATTGCAAAAGGTAATTTAATTTTAATTATTTTCTCAATTTTTGAATTTTGAATAAAGAAATGAAAGGGTTTAAAATTATCTTTCTTTATATTTTATGATTAGAAATTTAATTGCAGTACCTGTAGAACCTTATTGATTCATACGGTAATGCAATTGCTCTAAGTATTTGCGAAGATTCTGAAATCTCACATGATAGAAGAGTTTGGCAATTCAATTTATTTATTTATATTCTTATGTACATTTTAAGTATCAAAAATATATTTTAAGTATGTATATACATGTTTTGAAGAATTTTAATCATCATACCTGCAAAGCCTTATTGACTTATACGGTAATATGATTATCCTAAATATCTACGGAGATTCTAAAATCTCACACGAGACAGGAATTAAATTTAATTAATTGATTTAATTAATTATATAATATATATGTATATATATTTTAAAAACTAAATCGTTATATCCGCAGAGTCTTATTGACTCACACGATAATACAATGATCTTAGAAGCCTACGGAGATTCAAAAATTTCACGTGGCTAAAAGATATAATTGGTAAATATGGTTACAATTTAAATACATTTAATTTGGTTAATTAAGTTTCTTAAATTGTATATTATATGATTATTTGCAAAAATTACTTATTTATTACAAAAATTGAAAATCACTATATCTACGAGGACTTACTGTCCCACATAATAATGTGACTAATTTAAGTTCCTACGAAGATTCTTAAAATCTCACATGGAACTTAAATATTTAGTATAAAGAAAGAGTTAATTTTAATAATGGGCCTTTAGAACCCGTATAAGTATCTGCAAAATTGATCCCCATACTTGTAAAATCTTATTGATCTTTATGGTATGAGATCATTTTAAATTCCTGTAAAAATTCTCAAAATCTCCTGTTTTAAGTTTTAAAAAATATATATGTGCTTAGCATATGAGCATAAAAATAAATACGTATATTCGAGACTTATTCACCTGGATATAAAATTCATAGAAGCAATTAATAAGGTGTGAACTAACCTTACACACGCTCCCGCAATGCCCGTAACTGAGAAAGGAAAAGGAGATGAAGACACAGAGGAGGACGAAGTGCACCGTCTGTGATGGCAGTAGCCCCTGCAAACTTACACGCTCCCGCGATGCCCGTAACTGAGAAAGGAAGAGGAGATGAAGACACAGAGGAGGACGAAGTGCACCGTCAGTGATGGCAGTAGCCCCTGCAAACTTCCACACTTTCTCTCTCTCTCCAGTTGCTCTGTTATTCTTTTCGTCTCCAGTCTTCGCTCGTCCTCGTGCTCTCTCTCAGTTCTCCTATGCTCTGTTTTTACTTCTGATCTCCTTCTTCCAGTTTTTCTCGCCTCGTTTCTCCATTTTTCCTCTCCTTTTCTGCTGCTTCTTCTCTGCTCTATTTTCTTTCTCTCTTCTCTTCCTCTCCCGGACTCTCTCCTCTGTCTCTGTTTTCTGTTTTCAGTCCTCTCGGTCTTTCTTTTTCTATTTCACCTCCTCCGTCTCCTCCTCTTTTCTCCCAGCCCTGTCACTCCTTATATAGAGGATGGAAGAGCTGAATGATTACTCCCTTTCTCTGCTTCTTCCTTTTCCCTTCTCTTCCGCTGCATTTTCTGCGTGCGCCGAAAGCTCTCTGCTCTGTTTTCATTTCTGCATGGCTCTTCTTTTTCTTTGCGTGTGGGTGCTGCCTTTCTGCTTCCCTTTTTCTTCTGTCGTGTCCATGCCTCTACTTTTTCTGTGTGTGTTTCGTATGTGTTGGTGCTGTGTTTTTCTTTCTGCTTTCTCGTGTACGTGCATGTTTCTATTTCCTTTCATTGTGCGTCTCTGCTTGTTTTTTCTGTGTGTGTTCTCTGTGTAGCTGTGGCTGTGCGTTGACGTGTTCTGGTTTCTCTGCATGGCTGAAAGTTCCTTTTTTCTGCGTCTGCTCGTGCGTTTTTCCGGCGTTCTCTTCGTGCATGCGTGGCTGACTGTTCTCTCTCTCGTTTTCCTTCTTTTTGTCTGTTTCATGTCTGCTGTGTTTTTGTTGCTGAAGCTGGGCAGTTCAAATTGGCATGCACGTGATACTACCTCTTTATTTTATTTTATTTAATTATTCAATTTCATAGTATATTTTTTTTTAATTAATTTTCTTTTAAGAGAAGGGTTATCTAAGGTAAAAGGAGAGAGGATTTTTTTGTTAGATGATGATGATGATTATTATTATTATTATTTTCTTGAAAATATAATCCTAAAAAGGATTAAAATTTTTTGTATTTTTATATATTTTTGGTTATTTATTATTATTTTTAAAAAAAATGCCCGGACAAAATACGGTGTTCACATGTATTATATTCTAGAGCCCTGAAGTGGTTATATCAATTTGAGTAAGCTTTCCATAGTTCCAAAAATTTAGTGAAAGTGTTAAATTGAGTTTGTATTATCATTTGAGCATTGATTATCATGTTTTATGCAATGTTGGATCTCCCCCATCTATTTTGATATTAAGGGCTTGAGAGTTGAGAATGATTTATGTGTGATTGGCTAGTTATGGTGTGTTACACGACTCCGTGATAGTTCATTGAGTATAGACTAAGGGTTGGTGTGGGCTCTTAGTACTTGAATTGTAAAATGGGCACTCAAGTTGTGTGATATAATTGAAAATGAGTGAGTTTTGAAATGAATGTCTAACTTTTGATTGAAAAATGATTTGATTGTGAAAACAGTGCCTAGATCACCTCAATCAGATGAAGAAACAGGGTGTGTCAGAAGTTCACCTTGAGAGCTTTCATGTGATAGCTCTGTTGCTATCATGAAATGTGCAATGCACCATAGCGCATGGGGCCTACATCATGGCACTTGGTACAGAGACAGATGAGATGTGGCATATCTACAGTAAGTCACAGCGCATCATGATATTTTGCTGAAAATGATGATTTTCTAGCTTCTTTTGCAAATGCTTTGATTTAATTTGAATTTCCATGCTTCCATAGAGGTTTTTAACTTTGATGTTTAGTTATGATGGGATTTAGGAGGATTGGTAAATCACTAGTACAAAAAGCATTTTTTACCACAGTTAAAACACATTTTTCGTGACAGAAGAAGCTTTGTAGTAGAAAATCATGTGGTAGTAAATAGACATTTTTCGCCACAAGTCAAGTGGAACTGTGGCGAAAGATATCATTTTTCACCACAAATCTAAGCTCACCTATGGCGAAAAATACAGTGATAAAAAATATCATTTTTCGCTACAAATTTCAACTCAACTGTGGCAAAAAATGATATCTTTCGCCATAGTTCCTAGCTCACTTGTGGTAAAA